ACACAGTAAACAGTACACAGTACACAGTACACAGTACACAGTACACATTGTACAGTACACAGAACACAGTACACAGTACTCACAGTACACAGTACTCACAGTACACAGCACACAGTACACAGTACTCACAGTACACAGTACACAGCACACAGTATACAGCACTCACAGTACACAGCACACAGTACACAGTACACAGCACACAGTACACAGTACTTACAGTACACAGCACCCAGTACACAGTACATAGCACACAGTACACAGTACTCACAGTACACAGTATTCGCAGTACACAATACTAACAGTACACAGCACACAGTACTCACAGTACACAGTACTCACAGCACACAGTACTCACAGTACACAGTACTCACAGTACACAGTACTCACAGTACACAGTGCACAGTACTCACAGCACACAGTACACAGTACACACAGTACACAGTACACACAGTACACAGTACTCACAGTACAGAGTACTCACAGCACACAGTACTCACAGCACACAGTACTCACAGTACACACAGTACACAGTACTCACAGCACACAGTACTCACAGCACACAGTACTCACAGTACACAGTACTCACAGTACACAGTAAACAGTACACACAGTACACAGTACACTCAGTACACAGTACTCACAGCACACAGTACTCACAGTACACAGTTCACAGTACACACAGTATACAGTACACAATACTCACAGTACACAGTACTCACAGTACACAGTACACAGTACACAATACTCACAGCACACAGTACTCGCAGTACAAAGTACACAGTACACACAGTACACAGTACTCACAGCACAGTACTCACAGTACACACGGTACACAGTACACACAGTACACAGCACACAGTACACAGTACACAGTACTCACAGTACACAGTACACAGTACACAGTACTCACAGTACACAGTACACAGCACACAGTACACAGTACACAGTACTCACAGTACACAGTACACAGTACACAGTACTCACAGTACACAGTACACAGCATACAGTACACAGTACACAGTACTCACAGTACACAGTACACAACACACAGTACACAGTACACAGTACTCACAGTACACAGTACACAGTACACACAGTACACAGTACACAGTACTCACAGTACACAGTACACAGTACACACAGTACACAGTACACAGTTCTCACAGTACACAGTACACACAGTACACAGTACACAGTACTCACATTACACAAGATACAGTACACAGTACACAGTACACAGTACTCACAGTACACAGTACACAGTACACAGTACACAGTACTCACAGTACACAGTACACAGTACACAGCACACAGTACACAGCACACAGTACACAGTACACAGTACTCACAGTACACAGCACACAGCACACAGCACACAGTACACAGTACACAGTACTCACAGTACACAGTACACAGCACACAGTACACAGTACACAGTACACAGCACACAGTACACAGACACAGTACACAGTACACAGTACACAGTACACAGCACACAGCACACATCACACAGTACACAGTACACAGTACTCACAGTACACAGTACACAGCACACAGTACACAGTACACAGTACACAGTACTCACAGTACACAGTACACAGCACACAGCACACAGCACACAGTACACAGTACACAGTACTCACAGTACACAGTACACAGCACACAGTACACAGTACACAGTACACAGTACACAGCACACAGCACACAGTACACAGTACACAGTACACAGTACACAGTACACAGTACACAGTACACAGTACACAGCACACAGCACACAGCACACAGTACAACAGTACACAGTACACAGCACACAGTACACAGTACACAGTACACAGTACACAGTACTCACAGTACACAGTACACAGTACACAGCACACAGTACACAGCACACAGTACACAGTACTCACAGTACACAGTACACAGTACTCACAGTACACAGTACACAGTACACATCACACAGTACACAGCACACAGTACACAGTACTCACAGTACACAGTACACAGTACTCACAGTACACAGTACACAGTACACAGCACACAGTACACAGTACTCACAGTACACAGTACACAGTACACAGTACACAGTACTCACAGTACACAGTACACAGTACTCACAGTACACAGTACACAGTACACAGTACACAGTACACAGCACACAGTACACAGTACTCACAGTACACAGTACACAGTACTCACAGTACACAGTACACAGTACCCACAGTACACAGTACACAGCACACAGTACACAGTACTCACAGCACACAGTACACAGTACTCACAATACACAGTACACAGTACACACAGTACACACAGTACACAGTACACAGTACACAGCACACAGTACACAGTACTCACAGTACACAGTACACAGTACTCACAGTACACAGTACTCACAGTACACAGTACACAGCACACAGTACACAGTACTCACAGCACACAGTACACAGTACTCACAATACACAGTACACAGTACACACAGTACACAGTACACAGTACTCACAGTACACGTTGCCGTCACTGGCGACATTGTTGGAGAGGAACTTTGAGACGATAACTGAAATATATAATAATATTGATAAATTACATGTTAATTTAGACATAATAATAATAATAATAATAGTAATTATTATAATAATGATAATATTATAATAGTAATAGTAATGATAATAGTAATTATGATAATGATTATGAAAATAATACTAATAAATATAATAATGATATTTTAATAATAACTGGATAAAAGGGGGTAAATGATAATTAAGAAAAACCTTGGTGATAGGTAATACATTAAGAAACATGTGATGAATATACGACATATTACACAGGTCGTAATAACAGTAGTTTGTTGGGCTATGTATCGGTGGATAAGCTGTATAGCCCTTGTGGTTTAGCGCTTCTTTTTGATTATAATAATCGGTGGATAAGAGGTTGATGGGTAATAGAGAGCCAGGAGATGTATCTGATCAGTCTTTGGTTGTAGTGAGAGGGAAAGATGGGATACAAGGATAATGGAAGCAGCAAGTAAGAGAGAGGTGAAGATTAAGAAGCAGAAAGAGGAGATGGTAAGAGGGAATAAGGAAGTTGAAGAGGAATGAGGTAGATTTAAGAATGTACAGTGGACCCCCGGTTAACGATATTTTTTCACTCCAGAAGTATGTTCAGGTGCCAGTACTGACCGAATTTGTTCCCATAAGGAATATTCTGAAGTAGATTAGTCCATTTCAGACCCCCAAACATACACGTACAAACACACTTACATAAATACACTTACATAATTGGTCGCATTGGGAGCTGATCGTAAACCGGGGGTCCAATGTACAGTGGACCCCCGGTTAACGATATTTTTTCACTCCAGAAGTATGTTCAGGTGCCAGTACTGACCGAATTTGTTCCCATAAGGAATATGTGAAGTAGATTAGTCCATTTCAGACCCCCAAACATACACGTACAAACACACTTACATAAATACACTTACATAATTGGTCGCATTGGGAGCTGATCGTAAACCGGGGGTCCAATGTACAGTGGACCCCCGTTAACGATATTTTTTCACTCCAGAAGTATGTTCAGGTGCCAGTACTGACCGAATTTGTTCCCATAAGGAATATTGTGAAGTAGATTAGTCCATTTCAGACCCCCAAACATACACGTACAAACACACTTACATAAATACACTTACATAATTGGTCGCATTGGGAGCTGATCGTAAACCGGGGGTCCACTGTACAGTGGACCCCTGGTTAACGATATTTTTTCACTCCAGAAGTATGTTCAGGTGCCAGTACTGACCGAATTTGTTCCCATAAGGAATATTCTGAAGTAGATTAGTCCATTTCAGACCCCCAAACATACACGTACAAACACACTTACATAAATACACTTACATAATTGGTCGCATTCGGAGGTGATCGTTATGCGGGGGTCCACTGTACTTTTGGAATGTTCAGCAGAAGTTTGTGGATATAGGAGGGTGGTTGAGGGACGGTGGAGGAGCGACTGGTGGAATGATGAGGTAAACAGAGTTTAAGACATAAACTTAGAATTTGAGAGGTTTTCACGAAGCAAAAACAATAATAAATCTTTATTTCTACCAGTACATGTACAAGGTATACAAGTACATGTACAAGGTACACAAGTACATGTACAAGGATACAAGTCATGTACAAGGTATACAAGTACATGTACAGGTATACAAGTACATGTACAAGGTATAACAGTACATGTACAAGATATACAAGTACATGTACAAGGTATACAAGTACATGTACAAGGTATACAAGTACATGTACAAGGTATACAAGTACATGTACAAGGTATACAAGTACATGTACAAGGTATACAGTACATGTACAAGTATACAAGTACAGTACAAGGTATACAAGTACATGTACAAGGTATACAAGTACATGTACAAGGTATACAAGTACATGTACAAGGTATACAAGTACATGTACAAGGTATACAAGTACATGTACACAGGTATACAAGTACATGTACAAGGTATACAAGTACATGTACAAGGATACCAAGTACATGTACAAGGTATACAAGTACTGTACAAGGTATACAAGTACATGTACAAGGTATACAAGTACATGTACAAGGTATACAATACATGTACAAGGTATACAAGTAACATGTACAAGGTATACAAGTACATGTACAAGGTATACAAGTACATGTACAAGGTATACAAGTACATGTACAAGGTAAACAAGTACATGTACAAGGTATACAAGTACATGTACAAGGTATACAAGTACAAGTACAAGGTATACAAGTACATGTAAAAGTTTTACAAGTACATGTACAAGGTATACAAGTACATGTACAAGGTATACAAGTACATGTACAAGGTATACAAGTACATGAACAAGGTATATAAGTACATGTACAAGGTATACAAGTACATGTACAAGGTAACAAGTACATGTAACATAGGTATACAAGTACATTTACAAGGTATACAAGTACATGTACAAGGTATACAAGTACATGTACAAGGTATACAAGTACATGTACAAGAAGTTATCAAGTACATGTACAAGGTATACAAGTACATTTACCAAGGTATAACAATTACATGTACAAGGTATACAAGTACATGTACCGGTATATAAGTACATTTACAAGGTATACAAGTACATGTACAAGGTATACAAGTACATGTACAAGGTATACAAGTACATTTACAAGGTATACAAGTACATGTACAAGGTATACAAGTACATGTACAGTGTATATAAGTACATTTACAAGGTATACAAGTACATGTACAAGGTATACAGACCATAGCTGACAGCAGTGACATACTACTATGTAGAAAGTACCTTGTTATACGGAGCATTTCCCGCAAATTAGGTCAATTTTTGTCCCAGGATGCGACCCACACCAGTCGACTAACACTGTTCGGTGAACGTGGACAACAGGTTTAAGGAAACACGTCCAATATTTTCACCCTTGTCGGGAATTGTACCCTGACCCTCGGTGTGTGCAGCGAGTGCTTTGCCTACCAGGCCACGAGCCACCCTAATATATATAAGCAAGGCGGAGTATGTGGAGAGAAAAAATACAGGTTAAGAGAGCGCTGAATGAAAGTAAAAAAGAGAGTAACTGAGTCAGTGGGTGATAAACTTTCCACAAATTTTGATGAGAATTAGAAAATATTTAGAAGAGAGATTAATATTGAGAAGATGGAGGGAATATTTTCAGGAACTGTTTATTGTTGATGAAGAGAGGGAAGCTGTGAATTTATGCAATGGACAGGGAGGTATAACATCTTCTAGGAGTGAGGAAGAGGCGGATGTGAGTATGAAGGAGATGTGTGAGGCTGTGGTAAAATGAAAGGAGGTAAAGCAACTGGGATTGATTTAGTCAAGACAGAAATATTAAAAACAGGTGGGGATATAATTTTGGAGTGGATGGGACTTTATTTAATAAATGTTTGAAAGAGGGGAAGGTACCTATGGATTTGCAGAGTGTGTGCATAGTATACATAGAGTATACATAGAAAAGTGTATAGTTGAGTTATTATTGAAAGAGATAAGGGTATAACGGAGAGTAGGATCGTAGATGAAGGATAAGGGATGTGTTGACCAAGAGTCCATATTGAAACATGTAAGTGAACAATGTTTAGAAAAGGGTAAGGAACTTTACTTTGCATTTATGGATATGGAAAAGGAATATGATAGGATAGACAGGGAAGCAATGATAGGTGGATAGGGAATAGGTGGTAGGTTACTGAAAGCAGTTAAGAGTTTTACGAGAACAGTGAGGCTAAGGTATGTATGAGAAAGGGAGATTATTTTTCGAGTATAAACAGGCGTTATGCAGGGAAACATGACGTCACTGTCACCATAGTTGTTTAACATATTTATAGATGGGGATGTAAGAGAAATGAATGCTCGGGTGCTGGGAAGATGTATGGAACTGGAAGATAAAGAATCTAACACATGTTTTTGAGAGATTCCGAGGAGAAGTTGCAAAGGTTGTGGATGAATTTAGAATATGTATAAGAAAGAAATTAGAAGTGAACATACGAAAAAGCAAAGTGGTGAGGGTGACAAAAAATTTAGGCAATGAAAGACTGGAGGGAGAAAGTATGGAGGAAGTGAATGTGTTTACATATTTAGGAGTGAATTTGTCAGTAGATGGATCTGTGAAAGACGAGGTGAACCACAGAACTGACGAGGGTGACACAGTGGGTGATGCATTAAGAAATCTGTGGAGAAAAAGAATGTTATCCATGGAAGCAAAGGGAATATACGAGACTATAGTTGTATCAACTCATGTATATGCGTGTGAAGCTTGGGTTGTGAATGTTATAGCTAGGAAGAGGCTGGATGCAGTGACGTGTCTGAGGACAAAGTGTGGTGGAAATATTACTCAGAGAATTTGTAGCTTTGAGGTTAGAAGGAAACACAGTATTGATAAAAAAAAAATAACCAGAGGGTTGAAGAGGGAATGTTGAGGTGATTCAGACACTTAGAGATGATTGAACAAAATAGGGTGACTTGGAGAGCATACAAATTTGCAGTGGAAGGAAGGTGGGGTAGAGGTTGTCCTAGGAAAGGTTGGAGGGAGGGGACAAAGGAGGGTTTTGTGTGCGAGAGGCTTGGACTTTAAGCAAGCTTATATAAACCTGTTAGACAGGAGTAAAAGCATGCTGTTTTTATGACCTTTACGTGCTGTTAGAGTGTGAGCAAAGTAACATTTGTGAAGGGATTCAGGGAAACCAGTTAGCTGGACTTGAGTCCTAGAAGAAGGGTGGGGATATTTGCCCTTTTGAACTATAATATTAGCACTGTTTTGACAAGATGGTGATGAAGTGAAAGATATTGAAAGTGTTTCAGCTTTTTTTAGTCACTGTACCTTAGTGGGAAAGGGCCTGTGTTATGGGCCAACAGGCCTGCTGCAGTGTTCCTCCTTTCTTATGTTCTTATGTTAAAAACAAAACAATAGTGGTACTAATACTTGTGTGGGTGTGAAGCAAGGCTTTTTAATGTTGCAGCAAATAAGATATTGGTGGCAATGGAGATATCGTGTTTCAGATCCGTGTGTAGTGTGAGTATTACACAGAGAATTCATAATTCGGAGATCAGGAGGTGTGGAGTTACCAAAAGCGTTATTCAGACGGCCTAGAAGGCCTGAGTGGAGGGAAGGAGTAATAGGGGCTTATTCAAAAGACTTGTGAGAGCTTATTAGATAGAAATGACTGTAGACAAGTGATTTGAAGTGCTGTTGGAGTGTGAGCAAGATAAAATTTATGAATATATTCGGGAAAAATCGGTTAACCGGACTTGAGTCCTGGAAGGAAGCAGTAAGATAAAAGATGAGATGTTCGAATTTTTAACCCCTGAGGGTTTGTCACCCAGGATAACCCAAGAAAGGCAATGCGTCATCGAAGGACTGTCTTATTTCCATTGGCGTCTTCAATCTTGTCCCCCAGGATGCCACCCACACCAGTCGACTAACACCCAGGTACCTACTTACCAGGTGAACAGGGCAACACTTGTAAGAAAACGCGTCGAATGTTTCCACCCCTCTCGGAATCGAACCCGGGATCTCAGAGTGTGAAGTGAGAGCTTTGCGAGCAAGGCTTGAGGACCTACTCTATGAAGGTGGGAGACTGCCGAGTATAATAATAATAATAATAATAATAATAATAATAATAATAATAATAATAATAATAATAATAATAATAATAATAATAATAATAATAATACACGAACGAGTGGTATTGAATCGATAACAACACTGCGATTAGCCGAGGACTCGAACCCATGTAGTCTTGGCCCTGCTCACCATGAGGCAGGGCCTAGACTACATGGGTTCGAATCCTCGGCTAGACGCAGTCTTGTTATTGATTCAGTACCACTAGTTCATGGTCACAGTAATGTATATATACTGCTTGTGAAGGCTAGTACACCAAACGGACCAACTGTAACACACCTAGCTTGGCTGGGTGCTTGGTTCTTGTAGATTGTGTGGTTCAGTGGGTTAAGGCGTCATGTGATTTTCGTTCAACACGAGGCAGGGCCAAGACTACATGGGTTCGAAACTGTAGTCGTAGTGCTGTGTTTATATATAATATATTTTATATAAAAAATATATAAAAAATTTTTTTTTTATTACACCCCGGCCGATTCCCCCCAAAGGCAGGGGGGCCCAAAAAAAGAAAAACTTTCACCATCTTCATCATCACTGTTTCAAAGGGTGCTTTACACTACATTTTTAAACTGAACATTAAAAAACCCCCCCCTTCAAGTGCAGGCACGTATTTCCCCCTCCCGGACTCAAAGTCGGCCTCCGGTTTTTCCCAAATCCCTTCTAAATTTATTTGCCACACTCCAACCACGTCAAGTTTTAAAAACCATTTGTCCCCTTTCACTCCTACAAACCCCTCAGCATGCCTGCGGAAGTCCAAGCCCCCGCCACAAAACCCCCTTTCCCCCCTCCCCCAACCCTTCCTAGGCCGACCCCCCCCCCCCCTTTCCCTTTCCATACAGACTGATACACTCTTGAATCATTCTGTTTCGCCCCATTCCTCTACTTTCCGAACCACCTCAACAACCCTTCCCCAGCCCTCTGGGCAACAGTTTTTTGGTAACCCCACCTCCTCCTAACTTCCCAAAATTTCGAATTCTCCTTATTTTCACACCCCACTTCCCTCAACATGAATCTCCACTGTCCAGCCCTTTCCTCGCTGCAACATTCATCACCCCCGCTTCAACCCAAAAAAGACTTTTTTAAAAAATAACCCTCTACATTCCCCTTTTTGCCCCCAAGGACAAAGTTCTTTTTCTCCCAGACCCAATCACCACTCATCTTTTTCCTCTCAATTCTTTATTCACCCCATCTTATAACCCTCCGCTGACACGTCCACTCCCAAAATTGAATACGTTCACCTCCTCCATACTCTCTCCCCCCAATTGATTTTCAATCTTTCATCCCCTAATCTTTTTTATCCTCAAAAACCACTCTTTCCTTTTTTCCCTTTAATTTTTTTCTTTTGCAATTTACCAAATTTTTCCCCAATCCTGCAAATTCTCTTCAAATCCCCCCAAGGCCAGTGTCTCAGAAAGAGCAGCTGTGACAACTCCCACTTTGTGTGTGATTCTTTTCTTTTAACCCCACGCCTCTTGCCAAGACCCTGATTTACTTCTTTAAACCCCATTATAAATATATTAAACAACACGGGGACATCAACACCCTTTTTAAAGCCTATTTTTTCTGGGAAAAAATTTCCCTCTTTCCCAAACTTTTCTTAATTGGCTCATACCTCGAAAAAATTTTTCACTGTTTTCAGAAACCTCCCTCTACCCCTACATTGCAAACACTGCCACATTCCCCCCCTTCCCCCACCCTGTCTCCCCTTTTCCCCAAACCATAAATCCCACAAAGACCTTTTTTAGCCTTATTAAAACGTTCACTTATATGTTTCACTGAAACACCGGGCCACACCCCCTACTTTCCAAAAAGCCCCCTTTTTTCTTGCTATCCTTTTCCCCGTCTATTTTAAATTTTTCAATTATAACTCTCCCTACACTTTACCGGGTATACTCAAAGCTTATCCCCCTTAATTTTTTCTCTTCCCCTTTTACCCCCTTTGCCTTTTACAAAGGAAACTTGCATGCTCTCTTCAATCCTAGGTACCTTACCCTCTTCCTACATTTATTAAAAAAAATTCACCAACCCCTCCAAAATATTCCCCACCTGCTTTTAACATTTCTATCTTTTCCCTAATCCCGGTGCCTTACCCCCTTTCATTTTACTACGCCCCCACGAACTTCCCCCACACTCACAACTGGCTCTTCCTCACTCCTACAAGATGTTTTTCCTCCTTCCCCTATACACGAAATCACAGTTTTCCCTATCTTCTCAACATTTAAACAATTCCTCAAAATATTCCTTCCATCTTCCCAATACCTCTAACTCTCCATTTAATAACTCTCCTCTCCTATTTTTAACTGACAAATCCATTTTTTTTCCCCTAGGTTTTCTTAACTTGTTTTTCTCACTCCAAAACTTTTTCTTATTTTCAACAAAATTTGTTGATAACATCTCACCCACTTCTCATTTGCTCTCTTTTTACATTGCTTCACCACTCTCTTAACTTCTCTCTTTTTTCCTCCATATACTCTTCCCTCCTTGCATCACTCTCTTTGAAAAAAACTTTCATTATGCTAACTTTTTCTCCCTTACTACTCTCTTTACATCATCATTCCACCAATCGCTCCTCTTCCCTCCTGCACCCACTTTCCTGTAACCACAAACTTCTGCTGAACACTCAAAAACACTACATTTTAAACCTACCCCATACCTCTTCGACCCCATTGCCTATGCTCTCATTAGCCCATCTAATCCTCCAATAGCTGTTTATATCTTACCCAAACTGCCTTCTCTTTTAGTTTATAAACCTTCACCTCTCTCTTCCCCGATGCTTCTATTCTCCTGTTATCCCATCTACCTTTTACTCTCAGTATAGCTAACAACTAGAAAGTGATCTGATATATCTGTGGCCCCTCTATAAACATGTACATCCCGAAGTCACTCAACAGTCTTTTATCACCAATACATAATCCAACAAACTACTGTCATTTTTCGCCCTACATCATATCGTGTATACTTATTTTATCCTCTTTTTCTTAAAATATGTATTACCTATAACTAAACCCCTTTTTATACAAAGTTCAATTCAAAGGGCTCCCATTATCATTTACACCGGCACCCCATATTATTTATATATATATATATATTTATATATATATATATATATATATATATATATATATATATATATATTGTAGGTAGTAGGTTGGTACACAGCAACCGCCCAGGGAGGGGGGTACTACCGTCCTGCCCAAGTGAGTGTTTAAAAAGAAAGCCTGTAATTGTTTTACATGATGGTAGGGTTGCTGGTGTTCTTTTGTCCTGTCTCATAAACATGCAAGATTACAGGTAAGTCTTGCTACTTCTACTTACACTTAGGTCACACTACACTACATGTACAAAAATATATATACACACCCCTCTGGGGTTTTCTTCTATTTTTTTTTCTTTAAATTTTTGTTCTTGTTTATTTCCTCTTATCTCCATGGGGAATTGGGAAAAGAATTCTTCCTCTGTAAGCCATGCGTGTCGTAAGAGGCGACTAAATTTCCGGGAGCAAGGGGGTAGTAACCCTTTCTCTGTATATATTACTAAATTTAAAAGGAGAAACTTCAGTTTTTTCTTTTGGGTCAGGGGGGGGTTGGGGTGGGATAGGGCTGGACTTTGAAAAAGAAAGATAATTATATATGCAATCAAAAAGGGTGATTTTAAACCTTGCAAGACAAGCCTGGGAGGGGAGGGGGGAGGGGTGGAAATCTTTATTCAAGTATTTCCACTTCTCGTGCTCATCAGGAGCTGTGCAATGTTTCAAGAGAGCAACCAAAGCAGGGAGAGAGGAGTAGCAGAGTGTGGATGTGTCACCTTCCACGGTTACCCTTAGACTGTGGTTAGTGGAGCATACACAGTGGTTAACACTCTCGAAATTTAGAGTGGATGAAAACGAATTGGAAAAGAATGAACTTACTTTGACTTATAATCTTTCTGAGGTGAATTATATAAGCAGTACAGATCACCATGACAACCACCAACAAGATCAGCAGCATCACCAAGACGGTCACTGCAGTCGATGAATTTCTCGTGGTGCTACCAGCGGGTATGGCAGCTGTGTGAGGAAGGTGGTCTGATCAGTGTAAGTTTATTCACGTATACACAAATACAGTTACGTAGATTATACACAGCATCATATGTGTAGAGAAGTTAGTATAACCCAAAAACGTTAGAGTGATTTATTTCCCAAAAAGTCAGAGTGACTTATTTCCCAAAACGTCAGAGAGAGTGATTTATTTCCACTGGGATCCTTGCAGGTACTAACAATGAGAAGGAGAATTTCTGTTTACTGGCTCCCTCAATCTTTTCTGCTGTTGTGGCTTTGTAAATGGTCCAAGTCGGATCGAAACGTTGCCCTATGGTTCTCTCCTATAAGTCAGATTTACTTAAGTATTTTTGTTTCTTGATACAAAGAGTTTAGTGCAGTAACAGTTTTGCAGATTATCAAGGCAGGTTTCTCATATAAAATGAACGCATTTACAAAGGGACGAAAGATGTCAGGATCTTTGGTAATGTTATGTGATGACAAGACAGTGCTTGGTGTACATTATGTTATGTGAAGACAAGACAGTGTTTGGTGTACATTATGTTATGTGATGACAAGACAATGCTTGGTGTACATTATGTTATGTGATGACAAGACAGTGTTTGGTGTGAGTAATGTCATTTAAAGACAAGACAATGTTTAGAGTTAATGCCAGAATGTATAGACAAGGTAATGGTTGATTTTAATGCTGGTATGTTAAAACCAGACAGTGTTTGTTGTTGACATTGGTGAGAGAATACAAGAATATTAAGACAATGTTTGGTAAACTCGTCCAATTTTGTAATGAAAGACTGTCAATGAGTAAATAAAAGACTGGACGGGAACCTGAGCCGTTGTCTTCACAGATAGCAGTTCCAGCAATGTACGAGGCCTCCAGTGGTAGCAGTTCCAGCACTGTACGAGGCTTCCAGTTCTAGTAGTCCCAGCACAGTACGAGGCTTCCAGTGGTAGCAGTTCCAGAACTATACGAGGCCTTTAGTGGTAGCAGTTCTAGCACTGTACGAGGCTTCCAGTTGCAGCAGTTCCAGCACTGTACGAGGCTTCTAGTGGTAGCAGTTCCAGCAATGTACGAGGCTTCCAGTGGTAGCAGTTTCAGTACTGTACGAGACTTCCAGTGGTAGCAGTTCCAGCACTGTACCAGGCCTCCAGCACTGTACAAGGCCTCCAGCACTGTACCAGGCCTCCAGCACTGTACCAGGCCCCAGCACTGCACCAAGCCTCTAGCACTGTACGAGGCCTCCGGCACTGTACAAGGCCCCCAGCACTGTACCAGGCCTCCAGCACTGTACCAGGCCTTCAGCACTGTACCAAGCCTCCAGCACTGTACCAGGCCTCCAGCACTGTACCAGGCCTCCAGCACTGTACGAGACCTCCAGCACTGTACCAGGCCTCCAGCACTGTACCAGGCCTCCAGCACTGTACGAGACCTCCAGCACTGTACCAGGCCCCCAGCACTGTACCAAGCCTCCAGCACTGTACGAGGCCTCCAGCACTGTACCAAGCCTCCAGCACTGTACGAGGACTCCAGCGTCAGAGGTCAACAGCTGTGACCATCATCATTGATAGCCTCGTATCTCAATGGTACAACAGTGGACCTGCTACCTGTCTAGCCCACTTTTCGAGTCCTTGTCCATTCCTCTGTACATTCATTGTTTGGTGTTCATACTGATATCTAAAGACAAGAAATTACCAGAAACAAAGCAAGCTAGAAATACAGAATGGGTGTATGATGCAGTGTTGACGTAACTAAGGCTGTTACTTACGACAACTGTCAATCCTCTTGCACAGGATCCATTCCATAGTACCGTTGCCAGTTATAGTCACACTGCGGAAAGACGTAATTCCCCTCCTTTCAGTCTGCAAGAACATTATCATTTAAGAATATCTTAAAAAAGTGATAATTGAAGTGATAAGTATATGTACCAATTATTAAGTATATGTACCAGTTATCACATATGAGGACCAATTATTAAGTATATTTACCAGTTATCACATATGAGGACCAATTATTAAGTATATGTACCAGTTATCACATATGGGACCTTTATCAATTTATAGTTCCAGTTATCAAGTATATGGACCAATTATCAAGTATATGGACCAATTATCAGTATTTGGACCAATTATCAAGTATATGGACCTATTATCAAGTATATGGACCAATTATCAGTATATGGACCAATTATCAGTATATGCACCAATAATCAAGTATATAGACCTATTATCAAGTATATGGACCAATTATCAGTATATGGACCAATTATCAAGCATATGGACCAATTATCAAGCATATGGACCAATTATCAAGTATATGGTTCAATAATCAGTATACAGACCAATTATCAAGTATATGGACCAATTATCAAGTATATGGACCAATTATCAAGCATATGGACCAATTATCAAGCATATGGACCAATTATCAAGTTTTAGGGTTTCAATATCGTATACAGCCCAAATTATCAAGTATATGGACCAATTATCAAGTATATGGACCAATTATCAAGCATATGGACCAATTATCAAGCATATGGACCAATTATCAAGTATATGGTTCAATAATCAGTATACAGACCAATTATCAAGTATATGGACCAATTATCAAGTATGTGGACCAAATATCTAGTTTATGGACCAATTATCAATTATTTGGACAAATTATCAACGATATGGACCAATTATCAAGTATATGGGCCAATTATCAAGTATATAGACCAATTATCAAGTATATGGACCAATTATCAAGTACATGGACCAATTATCAAGTATATGGACCAATTATCAAGTATATGGACCAATTATCAAGTACATGGACCAATCATAAAGTATATGGACCAATTATCAAGTATATGGACCAATTATCAAGTATATGGAAAAATTATCAACGATATGGACCAATTATCAAGTATATGGGCCAATTATCAAGTTTATAGACCAATTATCAAGTATATGGACCAATTATCAAGTACATGGACCAATTATCAAGTATATGGACCAATTATCAAGTATATGGACCAATTATCAAGTACATGGACCAATCATAAAGTATATGGACCAATTATCAAGTACATGGACCAATTATCAAGCATATGGACCAATTATCAAGTATATGGACCAATTATAAAGCACATGGACCAATTATCAAGAATATGAACCAATTATCAAGCATACCTGGAGTTTACCTGGAGAGAGTTTCGGGGGTCAACGCCCCCGCGGCCCGGTCTGTGACCAGGCCTCCTGGTGGATCAGCGCCTGATCAACCAGGCTGTTGCTGCTGGCTGCACGCAAACCAACGTACGAGCCACAGCCCGGCTGATCAGGAACTGACTTTAGGTGCTTGTCCAGTGCCAGCTTGAAGACTGCCAGGGGTCTGTTGGTAATCCCCCTTATGTGTGCTGGGAGGCAGTTGAACAGTCTCGGGCCCCTGACACTTATTGTATGGTCTCTTAACGTGTTTAGTGAAAACCCCTGCTTTTCATTGGGGGGAGGGTTTGCAATCGTTGCCAAGTCTTTTGCTTTCGTAGTGAGTGATTTTCGTGTGCAAGTTCGGTACTAGTCCCCTAGGATTTTCCAGGTGTAATAATCATGTATCTCTCCCTCCTGCGTTCCAGGGAATACAGGTTTAGAAACCTCAAGCGCTCCCATTTAATTGAGGTGTTTTATCTCCCGTTATGCGCGCCGGAAAGTTCTCTGTACATTTTCTAGGTCGGCAATTTCACCTGCCATGAAAGGTGCTGTTAGAGTGCAGCAATATTCCAGCCTAGATAGAACAAGTGACCTGAAGAGTGTCATCATGGGCTTGGCCTCCCTAGTTTTGAAGGTTCTCATTATCCATCCTGTCATTTTTCTAGCAGATGCGATTGATACAATATTATGGTCCTTGAAGGTGAGATCCTCCGACATGATCACTCCCAGGTCTTTGACGTTGGTGTTTCGCTCTATTTTGTGGCCAGAATATGGACCAACTATCAAATATATGGACCAATTATCAAGTATATGGGCCAGTTATCAAGTATATGGACCAATTATCAAGTATATGGACCAATTATCAAGTATATGGACCACTTATCAAGTATATGGACCAATTATCAAGTATATGGACCAATTATCAAGTATATGGACCAATTATCAAGTATATGGACCAATTGTCAAGTATATGGACCAATTATCAAGTATATGGACCAATTATCAAGTATATGGACCAATTATAAAGTATATGGACCAATTATCAAGTATATGGATCAATTATCAAGTATATGGACCAATTATCAAGTATATGGACCAATTATCAAGTATATGGACCAGTTATCAAGTATATGGATCAATTATCAAGTATATGGACGAATTATCAAGTATACGGATCAATTATCAAGTATATGGACAAATTATCAAGTATATGGACCAATTATCAAGTATATGAACCAATTATCAAGTATATGGACCAATTATCAAGTATATGGACCAATTATTAAGTATATGGACCAATTATCAAGTATGTGGACCAATTATCAAGTATACGGACTAATTATCAAGTATACGCATCAATTATCAAGTATGTGGACCAATTATCAAGTATATGGACCAATTATCAAGTATATGGGCCAATTATCAAGTATATGGACCAATTGTCAAGTATATGGACCAATTATCAAGTATATGGACCAATTATCAAGTATATGGACCAATTATTAAGTATATGGACCAATTATCAAGCATATGGATAAATTATCAAGAATATGGACCAATTATCAAGTATATGGACCAATTATCAAGTATATGGACCAAATTATCAAGTAAAAATGGATCAATTATCAAGCATATGGATCAATTATCAAGTATTTGGATCAATTATCAAGTATATGGACCAATTATCAAGTATATGAACCAATTATCAAGTATATGGACCAATTATCAAGTATATTGATCAATTATCAAGTATATGGACCAATTATCAAGTATATGGACCAATTATCAAGTATGTGGATCAATTATCAAGTATTTGGACCAATTATCAAGTATATGGACCAATTATCAAGTATATGGACCAATTATCAAGTATATTGATCAATTATCAAGTATATGGACCAATTATCAAGTATTTGGATCAATTATCAAGTATATGGACCAATTGTCAAGTACATGGACCAATTATCAAGTATATGGACCAATTATCAAGTATATGGACCAATTATCAAGTATATGGACCAATTATCAAGTAATGGATCAATTATAAAGGTATAGGGGACCAATTATCAAGTATATGGACCAATTATCAAGTATATGGACCAATTATCAAGTATATGGACCAATTATCAAGTATATGGATCAATTATCAAGTATATGGACCAATTATCAAGTATATGGACCAATTATCAAGTATATGGACCAATTATCAAGTATATGGACCAATTATCAAGTATTTGGATCAATTATCAAGTATATGGACCAATTGTCAAGTACATGGACCAATTATCAAGTATATCGACCAATTATCAAGTATATGGACCAATTATCAAGTATATGGACCAGTTATCAAGTATATGGATCAATTATCAAGTATATGGACCAATTATCAAGTATATGGACCAATTATCAAGTAAAATGGCCAATTATCAAGTATATGGACCAATTATCAAGTTTATGGGATCAATATAAAGTTTTATGGACCAATTATCAAGTATATGGACCAATTATCAATATATGGACCAATTATCAAGTATATGGACCAATTATCAAGTATATGGACCAATTATCAAGTATATGGACCAATTATCAAGTATATGGATCAATTATCAAGTATATGGACCAATTATCAAGTATATGGACCAGTTATTATGAGGTAATCATTCGGTTCTTTCTAGTTAAGGTCATGAAATCCTCCGTGTTCAACCTGATGTCATTCCTCAGCATCCTCCGTGTTCAACCTGTCATTCCTCAGCATCCTCCGTGTTCAACCTGTCATTCCTCAGCATCCTCCGTGTTCAACCTGTCATTCCTCAGCATCCTCCGTGTTCAACCTGTCATTCCTCAGCTCCCCTTGTTCAACCTGTCATTCCTCAGCATACTCCGATTTCAACCTGTCATTCCCAAAGCATCCTCCGTGTTCAACCTGTCATTCCTCAGCATCCTCCGTGTTCAACCTGTCATTCCTCAGCATCCTCCGTGTTCAACCTGTCATTCCTCAGCATCCTCCGTGTTCAACCTGTCATTCCTCAGCATCCTCCGTGTTCAACCCTGTCATTCCTCAGCCCCTCCGTGTTCAACCTGTCTTTCCCTCAGCACCTCCGGTTCTACCGTCATTCCTCACATCCTCCGTGTTCAACCTTCTTTCCTCAGCATCCTCCGTGTTCAACCTGTCATTCCTCAGCATCCTCCTTGTTCAACCTGATGTCATTCCTCAGCATCCACCGTGTTCAACCTGTCATTTCTCAGCATCCTCCTTGTTCAACCTGTCATTCCTCAGCATCCTCCGTGTTCATCCTGTCATTCCTCAGCATCCTCCGAGTTCAACCTGTCATTCCTCAGCATACTCCGAGTTCAACCTGTCATTCCTCAGCATCCTCCGTGTTTAAAGCTGTCATTTCCCAGCATCCTCCGTGTTCAACCTGTCATTCCTCAGAAATCCTCCGTTTTTCAACCTGTCTTTCCCTCACATCCTCCGTGTTCAACCTGTCATTCCCTCAGCCCTCCGTGTTCAACCTGTCTTTCCCTCAGCATTCCTCCGTGTTAAACCCTGTCTTTCCCCTCAGCATCCTCCGTGTTAAACCCTGTCATTCCTCAGCATCCTCCGAGTTAACCTGTCATCCTCAGCATCCTCGGTTCACTGTCATTCCTCAGCATCCTCCGTGTTCAACCTG